CCCCACGGCTGAAAGGGCGAGCATGTTTGGTGTGACGGGGATTCGAACCCGCGACCCGCAGATTGCGAGTCGAGTGCCCTAACCACCTGGCCATGCCGTGCCCTATGTAAACGTTGTTGTAATAAACATTTCATTTGGTTTAAATTCAGTTTTACTAATAACACGTTACACATAATGTTACCACTCTGTAGACTTGTAATTTGGAAGAAAAAAAAATGGGGAGGGGGAGATTAACGAAACTTCGACCTTCGCAAGATACACAAACTTCAATTGGTGGTATTGAACAAAACACCACACAATTCCAAATAGCCCAAGAGTTTGTTCAGGTTATTTTATAACCCAAGAGTTTGTTCAGGTAATTTTATAGCCCAAGAGTTTGTTCAGGTTATTTTATAGCCCAAGAGTTTGTTCAGGTTATTTTATAACCCCAGGTGAACAAACTCTTTGGCTATAAAATAACCTGAACAAACTCTTGGGCTATAAAATAACCTGAACAAACTCTGGGGTTATAAAATAACCTGAACAAACTCTTGGGCTATAAAATAACCTGAACAAACTCTTGGGCTATAAAATAACCTGAACAAACTGGTTATTTTATAGCCCAAGAGTTTGTTCAGGTTATTTTATAGCCCAAGAGTTTGTTCAGGTAATTTTATAACCCAAGAGTTTGTTCAGGTAATTTTATAACCCAAGATTTTGTTCAGGTTATTAAGTTGAAAATTCCTACCTTTATATCTAAATGTGCTATATTACGCTCGTGCAAAAAGGTCACGCCCTCAAGGATTTGGCGCATCAGACGAGTTGCCACTTTTTCAGATATCACTTCATGGTCTTCCAAAACCCTCTGAAGTTCGCCACCTACTGCCCTAAAAAATAAATCAAAACGTGGTTTGTAGTCTTGACATTTAAAAAGTCTAACTATTATATTGAAGTGACATATAAATCAGTGCGTCAGTTATTAATAATTGTTTGATAACTTTAATGGACAAGTGTCAGGACAGGGCTTAACAACAAAATATTTTATTTTAACGAGTAAGCCGATTAAAAGTCCATATCCTGTTGAAACAGAACTTACACTTATTTTAACGAGCAATCCGATTAAAAGTCCATATCCTGTTGAAACAGAACTTACACTTATTTTAACGAGTAATCCAGTTAAGTCTATATCCTTTCGAAACAGAACTTACACTATTTTTAAATGAGTAATCAGTTTAAAAGTCCATATTCTGTTGAAAAACAACTTACACTTATTTTAACAAGTAATCCGGTTAAAGGCCCATATCTTGTTGAAACACAACTTACACTTATTTTAACGAGTAATCCGATTAAAAGTCCATATCCTGTTGAAACACAACTTACACTTATTTTAACAAGTAATCCGGTTAAAAGCCCATATCTTGTTGAAAAACAACTTACACTTATTTTAACGAGTAATCCGGTTACAAGTCCATATCTTGTTGAAAAACAACTTACACTTATTTTAACGAGTAGTCCATTTAAGTCCATATTCTGTTGAAACACAACTTACACTTATTTTAACGAGTAATCCGGTTAAAAGTCCATATCCTGTTGAAACACAACTTACACTTATTTTAACGAGTAATCCGGTTAAAAGT